ATTTTTACAATCGGAAAGAATAGTCAATACCTTCTTCGATTATGAAGTGAACACAAGGTTGATAAAAAAATTATTGGGCTAACGGTTCGATGTCTTGGCCTTCTTCAGAGCCGGATTGACTCGAGTCGATGCTCCACAGCTGAACAAGCACAACGCGATAGCCCAACAATCAGCCGTAGGCCATCGACTCGAATCAATCCGGCTCTGAAGAAGACGGAAACGTGGGGACATTAGCTGGGTAAATCTTTTTATCCACTTCGGGTTTGCTTAGCAGTCGAAGAAGGAATCTCAAATCAATCACAATGTTGAAAACCAAGGTAACAATGCATAATTTTTGTGTTCTTTTGTAATAAATGAAGTTCTGACACTTAGATTTCACCTCGCTTAAATAAAACTTTGGGATCATACAGAAAAGAATACTTCACGATGTATTCTTCTTTCTTCACTTTTCTTCTATTTTATTGGACTAAGTTCGAAATAGGGCGCATGAGGCACAGTGGTTGGAGGCGTGGAATCGATCCTCGCGCTCATGGTCCACCAAGCCTTCCATCCCTCAGGGTCAGCAAATTGGTACCAGACATGTCTGGAAGCATAGCGGCACTGGCTCGATACATCGGTAGGCCACCGCGAGTCATTGTGAAGGTCAGGTATGCATCCAATCACCTCCAACGATACTTAATAAAGTTGAATGCATGGCGCATCCCTCAGGGATTAATCAACGCCGATAGCTTTATCCTTCTAAGTTCGAAATAAATTAATAGAAGATCATGGCTGAAAAACTGTATTTCTCGAAAATGGCTCTTAAAATTTTTCTTACGAGACTGGGAACTCCTAGCAACTGAACAAGACAAGATATCAGCACAGAAAAAAAACGACGTGGAGAGCAAAAAGAGTGTGATATTAGTTATCATTTGGGCGATATGCGTAGAGCCTGAGATGGTTGAGCACATTCTGATTGGGACAACATAGGTGGAGAAAAATCACTGGCGTGTGAAATTGGTGTTATTTTCGAAAACTTTTGAAAGTAATTGTCTTGGTGAGGGTCTTGCCGGATAGTGTTCCTAATAAAGCTTTAATCGAGAGGATTTAAAGACAACCCTAACTTTCCAGGCTTCTGTTCAATGAGAGGTTAGAACAGATTCTCACTGAGACAGCAATCGCTCCCACTTAGAAGGTGGGTTATTTTCAAAACATTTTGGTTAGGATTTCGAATGCATGGAAGTAACGGTGAATGCACAGGTGAAATGACTCTCTCCAACCAGTATCTAGTTTCTGAAAACTGCATGATCCGCGGATTAAATCTGCGTAATCCTCGTCATGTGACAGTGTTGGACTGTTTTACCTAACGTTCTGAGTGCAAAATATTGGGGGGCCGAACGAAACTTGTGCGAATCTCTCTCAGCTAAAAAGCCGCTTCTCCTCAATTATTCGCTAAGCCTGGGTTTGCGAATGTTCTAGAAGGTTAATAGTCGCGTGCTACCTGGAATCAACTATTTCATATAACGGTGAAGAGTGCAAAAACACTGGCACAGAATTTTATTACGGGCGAAAACGCTCATAGTATTTCGTCCGTACGCTCTTTGGTGAGGTTACACGACATTGTTAAAAGGTGTGTTCATTTCCATGACTAGCATTCCATTAACATAGCTCTTTCCAAAGGTCATTTTCGTTTTCTAAGCCATGAGACCCTCTGTGAGCTGTTCAGATAGGATTATCGAAAGAATGCCTCAGCTCCAAGCAACTGTCCTAAGCTAGCTTTGTAGTCTAGAGGAGGAACAAACCTGCGATGGCAAATTAGCCTCACCAACTAGATTCGGGCACATTTTTTCAGTTTAATGAAGAAACAAGGAAATATCTATTTGATATTCCTTTACCGTTATTGCATTTCACCGAAAATATGACTATGAAAGACATTTAGACAATTAGTGTTCATCACACGGGCTGATCATACAGGTAATAACATAAATAAACGTAAAGTGAAAAAAATCACACCTCAGGTCATAAATAAACAAAATAACCGAGAAGCATTCACCTGAAGAGAAGTCAAGTCAACAACTTTCACAGTTTCACAACATTACTAAGAAATAAGAATAAGTGAAGAGATAGGTCTACACATGAACAACAATAAACATTCAAAGATGATTGTACAAAATTGAGAGCCGTTCAAAGCAACAACCACTCTTGATGATTCAGTTATGATTGTCGACAAAGAGCAAAATTCCTTCGGATACGGTGGACAACGAATTGTACTGTGGAACAGTGTCACAGACTCACGAATTTTGACAATCCGACCATAACCGTCCCAAGCAACGTGACCGACATGGCGACGGCAAGAAACGCCATATTACGCAGCCCCTCAACATTTCAAAAAAATCTCTCGTATTCAACTTAGCTTCCAACCTTTTATTTAATTCAAATAATACAGTCTTTCGGCTTCATATTTTTCTTGTTGTATGAGTCAACATACCTCCCAAAGCTTCACCGCGTCACCTTGGCTGAGAGGTATTCCTAGGTGTCAGGCTGCGATGTGCAGCTGAGATTTTCTCCCTCAGCCGGGTCTCCCAAACTGAGAAGCTTCCGGCATTTCCATTAGGAAGTCCAAGAGTAAACCAATAGCGGGAATCACCATCATCCTGGTACCAAACTCGTCCCAAGGTGGCAAAAGTCTTTCGGATTCACAAGGCCGGTGACTACCTGTAGTAGTGGCGAGCTAAGGAAGGCTCAAGCTAAGCTGATCTTGGAACTTCAGGGAACCATATTGGCTTAACTAAGGAAGTCCAGCTTCAGCACTCCGGACAGTAGGCACTCTGGTCTAAGACGTCAGGCGGCGAAACAACAGCTGAGAGCCGATGAACTCTCGGGTACCAGAGGACGTCATTGGAAAAGGACAGAACGAGTCACGACACGCCATGGAAACTGATTTTTATTCTGAAGCTATAACATTAGAATGGTGTCTTCAGGTGTTAACCTTGGTACCATTCTTGAGTATCAAATTCAATGTGATTGGCCTAAAAGAGACGAAAGTAGAAAGACCGAACTATAGAGCGCTTGAACGATGCATTGCGACATTTAACTGGTACTCTCTTCAGTCGAAACGCGCGACTCCGGTCTACTAAATCTCGAAAGACAGACAGGCTGGTAATATGACAAAAGAAGGAACAGATGACAGATGGACGGAAATAAGAGTGGAGTGAACTCTAGGATAAAGAAAGCATCTCCCTAAGCGCCCACACAAATTATGTGTAGAAGCATTCGTGGGTAACGTTAACCATTGCATTCGCAGATGGGAACAATTTCAGCCAACATCATGTTCAACGCAGACGACCACCATGCCACCATGAAAGATGTTTGCAAGAGAGAGAAACGAATGGGAACTATTATGGATATCGCATCACCAATGAGGACATATCCAAGTACGAGTCAATATATATTGGATACTAGTTGCTGCAGCTTGCTCCGTTCATGCATCACGAAAAAAGGTTCTTTCTGACACCACCTTTTACTTTTTCTAAAAGATTGAGAATCCCATGAAGCATCAGAAGATGGTCTCACAGAAGACCAAGAGTGAGAGGATCAATATGTAGCAATGAACCGGATATTTGGTGTGGCAAAAAGATCGATAGAAATAGCTGAGAGACAGGCGAAACGAAGGACCCGCATGGTGTGATGGTGAACGCGTTACTCCACGGAAAGGACAATAGCGCGTTCGTTCCCCACCATAAACACCTGCGGTCCAGAGTTTTGCAAATATCCCAGCAACGTAATGAACCGGATGATTATAAATCCTGCAAAAAAGGATCTGTCATGAAATGTCAGTGGAGGAAGTTTTGTCCTACACCCATCAATTACCTAACTCGTTGACTCAGACGAGTTCCTGTCAATTCACTTGACTTTCTATCATCCTCGAATCTTGCAAGCAAACCAGATCACAATTGTCAGCAATCTGGATAGTGGCGCGATACGCTTGGAAATCAATCACAAGCAAAAAATAGTGCCTTTATAACAAGCGGGGGAGAAAAGTCCGATTGAGCTCTATGACCTGACTGTAAACCGGATCCAAAAATCTGTGAGTATAACCAAGTTCATCACTCCTAAAGTTCGGACCGCATCTCCGCCACCAGAAAGGAGTCGCACGAGCACAGAAAAAAACTAAAACCTACGTGAGGCTTTAACATGGTTCATACATCTTGAAATAAGCTGTAAAACATCATTTGATAACGAATAACAGCGGTGTAGAGAGAAAGCTCTATTGGGGAGACCTCGAAAATCACTTCAAAGATTTAATTGGAGACTTCACAAATACCTATAGAACTTAGAGCATATACAGCATAGAAAATTCGCCCTCGGTATTGCTGAAAACAATGGGATTTTCAGTGACCTTCTGTAATGATAGGGCTGATAGCGTCCACTTTCATTCTCATATTCCATAATTTCCTCACTGAACCTCTTAAAGAATCTGTCTGGACGGTGATGGGCTCAAATATAGACCAGTGGTTTGACAAAAAGGTACTCTTCTAATATGAAGCAAAGACGTAGGTTCCCACATCAATCGCTTTTTATTAATGGGCCGAATAAAAGTTTTCTTTTCGAAAAGGTCCATTACAAAAAAAGAATAGTCAGATTTCGCATAACAATCTGCATCGAAAACAAAGAACAATGTCTTTTCACCATTACAGTGAAGGAGGCAAACTATTCGACTTATTCGCAAAGTTTGGACACCGGGCCAGATGGAACCACGATTTCCCTTTCCAGAGGCTCGAGCATTACACGCTGCGCCGCGGAGGTCTTCGCTCCGCGTTTCTCCCAACTAGTTTTCTACCTGCCAGTGCCATCAGAAATCACCCGTCAACGGGATTGATCTGGAAAGCCCACATCGGCAATAAACCCGGTTTATGCTAAATCTCAGCATCGATGTGGTTCACTTCCCGTGAAAACTGTAGTAACCAGTAAATAAAAAGCAAACATTGTGATATTCAGCTTATTTTAGTGGAGATAAAATCTTAGGAACCCAAAAATTGTCCTGTGAATTTTTCGCTAACCTTGATTTCTTCGAAGTACACTATGCTCCATGCGGAAGCAACGCATCCAGGAAGCATTGTAATGATCGGAAAGGTGATCGCTTGGGAAAGATGCTGATTTGCGATGAAGAACGACGTTTGTGCAATGCCCCAGAGTAATCCGGCAACGAATGCCGGCAGGAAAATGGACGGCGGAACAACTGGTCGATTTTTTCTGGAGAAGTTGTCAAACAACTTAAAGACCTTAATAGTTTATCGACAAGATGAGAAGAGCGTTTTATTTGAAACGAGATAGGATGGTTCTTAAATTGAGACGTTGACTTACAAACCAGCTAAGACATAATTGGCAACGCTTGTGCAGAAGCAGATAGTTCGACCTAGTGACTCCCTTTCAGCAATAGTCAGTACACTAGTAAGCGATAAACAGAAAATCCAAAATATTGGAGAGTTCAAGGGAAGCGGTGGTTTTTATTTGGAAGATCTCATAAACGAAATAAGTTTTCATCTCTTTAAATACAAGAACGCCTTTAGGACGACAGTTACAAACTTTACGCAACACCCAAGCCAAAAGATGATATTATGACATTTACTTAAACTTTTTGCAGAAGTTCGTCTATTTTGCACTATTCCTTATGAGAGCTACGAAACGTTTTCTGTTTTCAATTCCCAGGTCGTAAAATCCTACTGACCGAGCTATTACTTTGAAGTCGAGTAAACTATCGTACACTAAGCAGATGACTCCGTTGTGGCTCTCGAGCGTCAAATTCTTCGGCGGGATCTTCTAACCACCAACATCTACTAGGGTTACCCGATGTTTTCCCCTCAAAAAAAATAGTGTCTTGTAAAACAACTCTGCGCTGACTCATTAAAATTGCCATAACTTAACTTTTCAAGAAATTAGATTCAAATGCACAATACATACTTAACGATCGCATAGCCGATGAAGATGGTAGAAGCAGTGAAGAAAATTCCGAAATAGTGTGAGAATACATAGGCTAGGACATCCTGTGGATAGTCGGGAAACTTGTCCGGATTGTCCATCATGTAGTTAACCGGCACGAAAGTGAGACCATAAAATAGGCCGGAGCTCAACGCCAGAACGAAGCCGCTGCAACATAGTCACCTTTGTTGCAACGTCGAAAGCATTGCAGGAAAAATGGTTGGCGCTTTTTGTGATACTTCCCAACTGCCTGGCAACAGCCATCAAAAATTTCATTGGTGTTTTCACTTAAAAGTTCACTTCTTCACCTTTTCTCCTCGTGGTAATACTTGGATACTTGGATACTTGGACGGCCCGTCCTCACTCGTTGTGCGGGCCCCAGCACGATCTCCACTTTTCGGAGTGGCTTAGCCATGGCGTTTAGCTAGAGTCCAGCGGTCATCCTAGCCAAAGTCTGCCCCACGTCGTCATCACCAAAGGCAGTCGCCGACTTTGTGGATCAGAGGGAGATTTGCCACCATGCGGCTAGATACGAAGACGGTGGTGGATCCTGGTATTGCTTTACTCTTAGCTGAGCTTCCCAGTCGAAACGCCGGACTCCTCAGCTTGGGAGACCCTGCCAGTGAGATGAATCCCCGTTGTACAACGCAGTTCGACATCCAGGAACACCTCCTAGTCAAGATAAGGCAGTAAACCGTTGGGAGATAACCGTAAAGCATAATGCAAACGGTAAATCACTGATCGCCACTTTTTTGTGAGAAAGGGGACAATCCATCTACTCGAAATACGATGTGAGAGGTTTCCTGACTTGACTTTATTGCCCATCGAGGAGCTTGTTCCCTTCGATTTCTAAATCAAATGCACCAGAATATTTTAAAGTCATTAATAGAGCTAATCAAATGCAGAAGAATGAGGATGGCTGAGGTTGTTTAGAACTATAGATTCAGATATCCGGTTTTCTGAAGATCTCTGCCATTAATACTCACAGTAGTCGTTGTTTTCCACTTTGCGCTGCCACAGTGGTCCGCGGACTACGCTCCTCCTCCTTTTTGCTTTCCTTTGTATCTTCATTAGTTAGTGACTGCTCAGCCATTGTTTCCTAAACACGTAGACCAATTTAAATTAGAACTGCACAGTTGCAAAGATAGAAAACCAAGTCGCCTTTCCTCAACGCTTATCATATTCAAATCACCATTTCTCTCCGCCTTTTTATCTTTTTCGCTTCTTACGCGTGAGAATAGAATCCCTCTGAAAATAGATAAACAGTTAAAAACCTTTGGAATAATGAAACAAAACTTGAACTATTGAGGAAATGGTACGGTTCTGATGTAAAGCAATATAACTTGAATTCTCGATAATCAATTCGGTACTTCTGAAAGGACCAATAAAACTTGAATCAGTCCTTTTTGTAAACCATAAACCTGAGATGCTGGCTAATGCACTCCAATCACTCGAGGGACTCAAAGAGCACGTACCACCTTTTGAACGAGGTCTCTTATTCGTGCTGGTCTAAGAAATGAGGTGGCCAAGAAAAGCACGCCATGTTAGGCCAAATCCTACACTTCTTCTTAGCGGGACTTCCTCATGAAAACGAAACTGTTCTAGTGAGCTTAGATGAATCCGGTGGATGAACGATTCTTCCGATGAATGACGCAAAGAACGTACATTCTACTGCAAAGCTGTGTCATTGTTCAATGATAGGAAAGGTGTACGAAGAATACCTTCTATTTTAAACACTAAACAAACCTAAACGTGTCATCAGAATCAACACAAGTGCCTAAATGACCACGACGAGATTCAGCATTAGCCATAAAAGTACTTAAGGAACGGTTAAAAAGCGGTTGGCAGCATTTTTGGGAATGCTGCGAAGGAGAGAAAAAAATATCACAATATTATACCTTTTTATTTTCTGCCTACTATAATTTCGAGGCAGGTTACTAAGCGAAACACAACCACAACGTTGCTGAGATATTTGCAAAACTCTGAACCATAAGTGTCTATGGTGGGGAACGAACGCGCTATTGTCCTTTCCGCGGCGTAACGCGTTCATCACCACACTATGCGGGTCCTTCGTTTCGCCTACCTCTCAGCTAGTTCTGTCGATCTTTGTTCACTCGATATATGCAAACTTGCGTTTTGAATAAATTCGAAAAATGATCATGGATGATCTCGCTGCACACGGGCTTTTTTTGACCTGATCAATGTGCATTCCCTATCTGTGTAAGACTCTGTGCGGCTGGTTCTGCAGACCGATTCAGCAAAAAGCCAAAAATCAAGTGAATGGGATGTACCTAGAAAATGAGAAGTGGAATCGACCTCAACAAGCAAAATTAAACACCAATTAGATGCTCATTCTCTGGCGCCCATACGGAGAAGTTACTTCACCTATAATACACTGTTGCACAAGAAAGAGGACATGAGCGACATAGGCAAGTATGAGCCAATTTACCTGTTGTCCCTAATCTACAACCTTTTTACACGATTTTTGAACTGGGTTCTCAAGGTGCTCGTTATACGATGATACCCATGCGAATCAAAACGAGTCAGTGGATATAGAAGCTTGAAGATCAGATTTTCATTCAAATTATGGACCAGAAAACTAGCCCTGCAATCACACAGACCAGCCCATTGTAGTTAAGGGCACTACTTGCGGGTGGATTAGCTTTCATTCCAAACAGGCCGAACCTAAAAGAAAGCTGAGTTATTTACGAAAACGTGAAATGAAGAAAATTTCTGGCTTGCCTTCCGCTGGCCCAACCAGTCAAGCAATTGGATGTGTTCCAGATGAGTATACCCAGTGCCATGCCCAATCTTGAAATGGTCGGAATCGCAGCTACGTTCCCTAAAATCGCATTTGCACGAGGCTGCAATGGATGTCATAGCCATAGGGTAGCTGGATAGGATGTAGATTAAAACAAACAAAAAATTACACAGACAAGGACAAAATGGAAATGGAGCAAGAAGTTGGAGAGGGAAGGAGTATGAAAAGGAGAAAGTACTGCTAATACTAGGAACCATTTGCAAGTACTTTTCATTACCACCATTCACTCTATTATATACAACTCAATAAAATATGTTATAAGACAAAACCTATTATTAGTGCTCAGTTTTAAAACTTATATTATATGTCATTTAAACGAAGTTCTTCTCCTTCAACACATACTCGACTGCGCCTAATTCTAAGCCGCGCACGTTCTGAATAATATATGATTCGTATCGTCCAATCAACCACCAAATATCGAAATGCTCACGTCTCTTTTCGCGGCTTTTGCTCCTCAATTCAAGTTTCCAATTCATTCCTCGCTGATTTCGGAGAATTTACATATTCTCTGTATCCTCTAAGTCTTCTATGTACCTTTGCGTACTCTCGGGATACGTACATCGTTTATTTGCTATGAAAAAAATTCGTCCGCCATTCACCTGATTTCAGAGGGCGGTAGTTAAAGTACAGTGATGAATAACTGGTTCAAAACGTACCAAAACTGATCAACACTAGATGTACTCAATGCGTCAAATATTCCTGTTTACAATGCAGTCAGTTCTTCATTTACTGCCTATTCTTTTTTAATGACAGCGTATTATGTGAGATATAACCACAGTGATGTTGAGATATTTGCCAAACCCCGGACCGATGGTATTTGGGGTGAGGAACGAACGCGTTATTACCCTTTCCGAAGACTGACGCGTCCGGCCACCACACCATGCGAGTCTTTGGTTTCGCCTTTCTCTCGGCCGTGTTATTGACTTATAGGTGCTACCAGCAATCACCCATCAACGGGACCGGTGTGGGAAGCACAAATCGGCATTGGACCCAATTAAATTGAAACCGTGATATAAATAACAGTGTAGTCCCTTTGTTATTTACTACCTATCCTTTTTTAATGGCACGGTGTGATGTGAAGTGAAATCCCGTTTATGGGTGATTGCTTATAGCACCTATAAATGAATGAGACGGCTGAGAGAAAGGCGGAACTAAAACGCGCATGGTGTGGTGACGAAAGGGATAGTCTCCGGAAAGTGTAATAACGCGTTCGTTCCCATCGCAGACACCAGCGGTCTGGAGTTTTGTAGATATCTCAGCATCACTATAGTTATATTCCTGTTTACATCCTTTCAATTACAACCATAAAATATTAGTGGCTGCAGATAGCAGTAATTGTGAATCGTATACAAAATAGCAGGCTGTAGACATTGCCAGTGCAAGTTGTAAAGATTTTGTAAACAAGGGTGGACTATTCAAATTCCAGATTGCAAGATAAATACTGTGTAGTCTGAGTACAAGGGTTACTGCACCAGTTCTGAACATAGTTTGTGGAAGTGGGAAATCTGACGAACGACTTCGTTACAAACGCTTAGGTTTTAACAATCGATAACTTTAGTAAAGCGGAGTAGGCATCCTCAGCAGATTAGTGTTGTTGTTGTTACATGTTATGATTGATGTTACAAGTAATTTAAAGCCTTAAAGCCTTACCATCTTACCATGGCAGTGTGTTCTTGTTGTAAGTGTCGAATATGAGTACAAAAAAACAGCAGACATTTCTTAGTAACTCGTTCTCCGTGGCGTGTATGATGCAGTGGTCGGAGGTACCCTGCCATAAACACATGGGATCGATTCCCGCACCCGCGGCTCACCACTCCTTCCATGCCTCTGGGGTCGGCGAATTGGTACCAGACTTGTCTGTGAGGATAGCAGCACTGGTTCGATACACTAGTAGACCACCGCGAGTCATTATAAAGGCAAGATATGCATCCAATCACCTCCAAACGATGCTTAAGGAAGTCGAATGCATAGATATATCCTTCAGGGATTGATCAACGCCGACAGCATTATCCTTTTTCCCTATCCACCTGTGGTCCGGAGTTTTGCAAATATCTCAGCAATCTTGTGGTTGTATTTCGCTTAATACCCTGCCATAAAAATAATAGAAGGCAGAAAATAAAAATGTAAACATTGTGAATTCAACTACAAGCCTCAGCTTAACTGGGTTCAACGCCGATGTGGCCTCCCCAGATCAATCCCGCTGACGGGTGATTGCTGATGGCACAGATCGATAGAACTAGCTGAGAGACAGGCGAAACGAAGGATCCGCATGGTGTAGTGGTGAACGTGTTACTCCACGGAAAGGACAATAGCACGTTCGTTCTACACCGCAGACACCTGTGGTCCGGAGTTTTCCAAATATCTCAGCAATCCTGTGGTTGTATTTCGGTCAATACCCTACCGTAAAAATAGTAGAAGGCAGAAAATAAAAAAGTAAACTTTATCCTTTTTTTACCTTGTTCGCCGGCTACATTTTCTCGCAGTAGTACTCAACTGCATAGAGAAACTCGTCCGAAAGCAGTGTTTTGCAAACTACAGAATGTAGACGAGGCTTTCCTCTGACGATGAACCGCACAACATCTGTGGCCAGAAAGCGATCCGTTGAATACAAAAAGTGCGGAAAAAGTAATCGTCGGAAGGTTTGTACTATCCCTGCTTTTCAGTAAGTTCTTGTAAAAAAGAGCTTTGAAAAGTGCATTGGAGAGAAGAAGATATTTGTTCTCAAATGGAATTATCGTTGCATCATCGCCTTCGCCGAAATCAAGTAATCACCGACAAAATGTACCTCTTAAGTAGAGTTAGTTGGCAATTAAATTAGCATTTTACGAATCCTATCCTGCTTTTGGCTTATTTTATTCAATACTTTTCATTTTTATCACGGGTAATCCACAAGAAACCATTTATAACTTGAAAAACGTTGCTTGGCTTCCAACGGTTTACCGCCTCATCGTGGCTGAGAGGTGTTCCTGGGTGGCAAGCTGTGATGTACAGCGGTGCAATTCGTCCCCACCACCACGACAGGGTCTCCCAAGCTGAGAAGGAGTCCGGGGTTTCCATCAGGAAGCTGATCTAACAGTAAACCAATACCAGGATCCACACCACCACCGTCCTGGTATCAAACTAGTCACATGGTGGCAAATCTCCTTCAGGTCCACATGGGCGGCGACTGCCTGTGGTAGTTACGACCTGGGGTAGAATTTGGCCAGGCTGACCTCGAGCTCCAGGGAATCACAACGGCTAAACGAGGAGAACTCTGAAATACGGGGAATTTTGCTGGGGTCCGGACAATCAGTGAAGACGGACCATCCAAGTATCCAAGTAAGCAAAACGCTGCTTTCATTGTGTCTCCCACAAAACCTTCGCTGTGCTTTGATTGACTTTATGAGAAAAAGAAGGGATGAAGATTTAAGTGAAATATTAGATGGACAGAAGAATCGACGACAAATCACCAAATCACCTCGAGTGTTTTGCATTTTGGACTTAAGAAATAAGATAAAGGCATTCGTTACCGATACTCCAGAATGTTCCGCCAACCATGGCCAACGGATAGAAGCCGGGAAAGCCTTTAACGCAGAAAACAGCGAAACCGATCAGCAGAATCGCAGACGCCATCACCCACTGGGCAAACATTCCTTAAAGGGGTGAATATCCACCTTTAATGGAACATACAACAAATAAGAAACAAAAACTCATCCGAAATAAAAATTATTCGGTGAACAGAAAACATGAGAAACACTACCATGCTAGTTCGGTCTTCCTCTTTAAGTTTATTCAAGCAAGAGATGTCCTTTAATCATGAACACTGTCTGCTCTACACAGTTGTTAAAAATGCGCGTAGTAAAATCGCCACGCTAACAAAGGCTGGGTAGTAAATCCCAGGATCGGTTCTCTTTCAACCTCGGCATTGATCAACAGCTCAGTGTTTATTTGATGAGGAAACACGATACTAGTTTTTTTTATACTAGACGGGAAACCTAAAGTCAAGCAGTACACTACACTAACCGCGCATAGGACACAACGACATAACGGAGATTTTGAAGTAAAAGTTACTATCCTCGCATAGGAATCCAAAACATCAGCGCGTAAAACTCCTGATGCGTTGTGGATTATTTCCAAAAACCCAAAAATGAACGGGAAGGAGGAATGCCTTGTGATAGTGGGTGACCCTCATCATACCACACGTCAATTCTCTGACCTGAGCCAGGTGCATTCCTCACCACGTAAGACTCTGCGGCTTCCATCGTTTCACCGAACAACTGGAATACTTATAAGGAACAGAATGGAGTGTTTATTTATTACGACAATGAAAATTTATGTATTAAGCTTCATTCTCGGAGTTTATGGAAGTGTTTGAGTGAGTTGATTTGTCAACGTGACCTTTCCCGGCGCTGAAGGAGGGGAAACCTCCAGAACGTCAACTAGGTTAACTAGTGTGAACAAGTAAACACTCGTGTTTGTTCATCGAGAAAACAGTGACTGTTGATAGCATTGTTAAGGTTCCGGGTATTCAAGAAAAAATATCTACATAAAACAGCGACACCACTGGTCCCGAATTCCCGTTGAGCTGCAACTTTTACGTCATTGTTAGGAACATTCATTAAAAAATTAAAGAATAAAGATAAAATCACAGCACTTAAGGATAACAGTACCGGATACTCATGCGTGTCATTTATCGTACGGCTATCAATAATTGTATTGGCCTGCGCACTATGATGCCATTGACAGTGAGTGGCTTTCTCTGTTCTTCACTTGTTCCAAATGTGCGCTCTTCACTCTCGAAGGGACTCAGATATACTAAAATGCAGCCCGAGCTCTTTGTTGGCGCGTTCAGGTTACTTTTCACACGAATTTCCTTACATCAAGCCGTCATTGAAAAATCCCCATGAGCTCCCAAAAATCCCCAACCCCCAAAGTGCATCTATTTTGAATAGAGTGAAAATCGTCCCAGTAAATTTACCATTTCTCCGCCTGATACCAACGTGTTTTGACCATCTAGTAGTTACCAAAACTTTTAACTAAGCCGAGACCGACGAATACCGTTTAGTGTTGATTAATGCGCTAATGATGTGTCATGCACTCAACATTATTCGCGACACTAAAGAGCTGGTTGATTGCATAGTTGAACTATACAATGCTTTGTAGGAACCCAGCGAAAGTGTATAAAATCAATATTTCTATACACCCAAATTGGTCTGGCATCCCTTTGCCGACTTCTCAGTGATGAGAGCCTTGCTTGGGTTATCTGTGGCATGGGAACGAACCAGCGACCAAGTATGTCTACCTCCGAGTATCTCTAACTATTGTGCTACGCTGCGATAGAAGAATAGAACTGCTCCAGTGTCATATAGATTCTAACTCATCTATGGACCAGTTTAGTCGAATCTTCATGAGCCGCAGTAGACAAGGAAAGACACGCTATTTTGCACTAAAGATGAACTACTAGGTAAACTCGAGCTTCTTCTTTGTCTGCTTAGCTAAAATTACTGAATTTCTATTTGCTGCCTTCTTTTATTCTTCTCATAGCAGATTCAAGGGTTTCCTAACCGTGTGTCTGTGTCAAAAATCACCAAACACTTTCGTTCCGACGTAAAACTGCCATGAGTAGATGTTTAGAGAAGCTAGCATGATTCCTTAAAGTCAAAGACATAGATGATGACATATGGACTCATCAGAGAACAAACTGCCAGAGTATCGCGATCGAACGCTATCTCTATGGAACACAGGTGTAGTAGGAGTTTTACATGACGTTCCGCTGTTCAGGAAATTAAGAATGGGCTTCTTTTTATATACTCGTGGCAGAACAATAGGTTGTCCATCTGATGTCTTGGAAATACGTTAGCTAGAATACCTTCGTTTTCTTCGGAGGCATTTGCTACCTTTGAGCATTTGTCATTTTCCCACTAAGAACTGTGTAGTAGGTGCCAAGAAGCCGAGACAATGAGAAGCTCACTCACACCCAGGTATAACGAAAAGTCGAGCTGCCGAGCAGAAGTTACTCGTTTACTAGAGGTGTTGCTATTTGTTCATCACATTTCGATGCGGAAGCACAGTTTTTCGTCATTTTTATAGGGTAAGACTTCCAGAAAGGGTTCATATTATAGTGTAGTTCTACGTTACAAGCATTACTGATGGAAGTAATCCGTCTAGAGATACTGGTCCCTGCAGACTAGGTACGTCACTCTCTTAGTTACTGCTGGTCAGGATCATACTTTATAAACAACGTTTACCATCTTTGGGGTCGAACTTCTTGATTGGGACGAACATGGACCCAAAGAAGACGGCCGACACTCCGCACGCACACAGACCGATTGATATGCTCATCTAAACCGTGCATGGGCTTAATGGCTTGCAGAAAAATAAGTCAAACCATCGAAAAGATGAACGCACGATGCGACGATGCGACATAAAAACGCCATATTAAGTGAAATATTCGTGCGCAGGATAAATACCGATGACCAGGACTCAGAAATATCACACTGCGCCGAAATAAAAGCAGAAAAAAATCGTAACACATAAGGGATAGATTTTGCAAAGAAACTTCCGTTTACTGACTTTCAAGCTTCTTCTTCCCATCTTAATGATTCTTCAACCAACTCTATTCACTTTCTATACGATTCTACTGAAGTAGTAGTAAGACCCATCCGGCGTTTCCATCAGGAAGCCTAGCTAAGAGTAAACCAGTACCAGAATCCACCACCGACCTGGTATCAAAGCCGCATGGAGGCAAATCTCCCTCTGATCCACAAGGGCGGCGATTGCCTGTGGTGGTGACGACCTGGAGCGGACTTTGGCCAGGCTGACCTGAGGGCTTCAGGGGAGCACAATGGCTCAACCAGCAAATCTCCGAAATATGGAGATTATGCTAGGGTCTGCACAACCAGTGAGGGCGAGCCGTCCAAGTATCAAGTATCAAGTAAATGGTAGAAACTTCATGTGAACTGTATCTGATCTGAAACCATGTAACCTACCACTTACTATTTCATACAAGAATAATGTAGCTGACGAAGAGGGAAGACCTTAAAGAGGATTTCGAAGGATTGAGAATATGAATAACAACGACTTTAAACCAATATACGAAAGTTCCAGGCCATTAAAAAAATGTGGACAGAAAAAAGTGTTCTAACCCACAGCAGACAAATCGAAAACACCTGTGAAATATCAAAGCAGAGTTGGAAGCAGGAGTAAATTTGAAAAAAACGAGAGAAACTCTGAAATAAAAGTACACTTCAGGTACATTGATGCAACTCGTATCTTATTCAATTGCATTGAAAGATTGGATGAGGATGACCGGTTGGTTGCTGTCGCAATCTGAAAATGACGAGTTAGATGAGAGTAGAACGAATGGGAAACTTGTGGGTTATCACACAATGTCAAGGATCGACTAATGGCCGATGGCAGTTCATCCTCCGCTGATGGGTCAACCCAGACGAGGTTCTCACAAGGAACATACAGTTTGCAACTGCTGGGATCGAGGCTTATCCTCCCTTATTCGGAAACTGGAAAGGTCACACAGGCTATAATCACGAGAATCCGCTTTCGTAATCCAATCATAAAGGCCATGTTTATTTGATTCCGATCACAAGGTAAGCGTCATGGCAAGAACGGTGTTGCTCGTTCAGTTCGATGACGAGCTGAGATCCCCAACGGTGCGCACAGCATGATAAATACGGGCGAATGAGTTCAAACAACCAGTTTGGGACGGAAAACGATCTCGTGTGTGATGGCGAGATATGAGAAGAAATCGTAGTTCGGTTATTGTAACATAAGTTCTACATTAACGGAAAGATACCAGTTCACCAAGAGCACTATGACTTACTGATAAACGTCGTGATCAATGCAGACAACATGATGAGGAAACCATTGAAAGCAATCTACTAGCAGCTTCTTCTTTTCGATAGCACTCAAAAATCCTTCTGAATTCTCCTGGATTCTTCCAAAGGAAAAAGAAGAAAAATTTAGAAGTGGTGAAAAAAGGATAAAGGATAAAGCTTTCGGCTTTGATCAATCCCTGAGGGATGCGCCATGCATTCTACTTCATTGAGCATCGGTGGAGATGGTTGAATGCATACCTGGCCATTACAGTGACTCGCAGCGGCCTACCGATGTATCGAGCCAGTGCAGCGATCCTCCCAGATAAGACTGGTACCAATTTGCTCATCCCGGAGGGATGGAAGGCTTGGCCAGTCATGGGCATGGGGATCGATTCCACGTGTGTGTCGCAGTGGCGCCTCCAACCACTGCGCCACATGCGCCCTGAGGTGGTGAAAAACGGCATTAAACTAATCCTTTCAACACGCTCTATTCTGTGGATGCTGTTTGTTCCACAAAGAAGTGGAGCAGAGAGAATGAGTTCAGAGCTGTGAAGAGCAGAGAGAGATTCCCGATTACTTCCGGATACGATAGTCATACACAGACTCTCTACCTATTCCTTAATAGAAGGCGCTTTTTGCCTGGATGTTGAAGAACTAGTAATCCATTTGTGACAGCTCTCGTTCAAGTAAGTAAAGTGGACGAAGCACAACTTAGTGTACGTCAACAGGTTTAGCATTGTTGATCACCAAAACAAGAACACGTGACTTCTTGCGGAATAGAATCTTTCCGGTTGATAGATGTTGTGTTCCGTAGATTCTATCGAGTTCCCGATAAGACATTTCTACTTTGGTGTTCCCATCAAGTACCGAGAAACTGTAACAGATGACTCCATCTTTCAAGCATTAAACGGTTCCCACAGCGTTCTTCCGATATAAATTTGGTTTCCAAAGCGTTCCGAAGCTTTACCTTTGTCCAACCATGGTCCACAACGCCGTCAGTCATAGCAGAAAATGCATTTTCGTTATCACCAATACCATTCTGATCAAGAAATGAATTGTTCCGTCGAGCAAAGACTGGGCGGAACAGGTCTCACACCGATCATCGCTTTGTTCTTCCTTCGCTGTCTTCCGTCAGCTCTCGCATACATTTGCGCGTGAATGTTTCTCATCAAACATCATCCGTCATATACCCAGCAACACTTAGTCATCTTCGACGTTCGTCATCTGCACGGTTCATCTCCAGGTCCATCACGAAATCGTTTAAACCAACGTTGTTGCTTGCATCAAGAGGCACCGCCGAGTGAGGTTACTTCAATCGAGAGGTGCTTCACTCAAGCGGGATTCGAATATTCGACTCGAATAACTACAAATACTCACAACGCGAGGACGGCCGCCTGTGGAACATCGGCCCGGATCAATCCGGCACAGAAGACAAAGGCGCCGAAGCGTCAGCCAAATAAAGTTTCCTTTATTAACCTCGTGTTAGCTTATCAGTGGAAAGAATACAAGGTGTAGTTTGTTTTCTATCTCTGCTTGAAGGGTTAAAATAGTATAGCTAACATAAAAACTAGATTGCTTAACCATTTGTGAATTGTTCTCGTTTAGAGGACGGAAAGCAAACTGAGTAAGAATTCTGAAGAACCGCTGGCAAAAGAAACAAGATCTATTAGGACTTTTTTTTAAAAAAAAACCACAGACAAGACGACAAAGCGGGAAAAAAAGTGACAGCTGCAAACCCTCATGATGGAAGCGCTGGGAAAGGCAGGCGGGACACGGCTGCTTCGGCCGATCAGGCAGGCCATCGACCAGATCGATAGCTGGAAGAGCTATCAGGCTTCGTTGCCGACACAGAGAGTCTGTGGTGGTTGACGAAGTCAACACGGACTCAAACGATCAACTTCGAATACTCCCTGTTATTTGTGGTCTAATGAGTGACTTCCAAAGTGTCGAAGACAAAACAGTTGAATCATTCGATAATTAGTCGTTTGTTTACAATGAGAATGACCTCAGTGACGACAAAACAATGCCATTCACACAAAATACCAGTGTTCGAATCTTGGAAGTGACGGAGAAAGGAATGACGGAGGAATTTTGTCGAGTAAATAAAAGGTAAAGATAAACCTACATGACGTTGATCAACCCCTGGGAGATGCGCCATGCATTCCACTTCATTAAGCAGTTGGAGGTTGTTGAATACCTATCTGGCCTTTATAATGGCTCGCGGTGGTCTACCACTGTATCGAACTAGTGTTGCGATCATCCCAAACAAGTCTGGTACCAATTGGCCGACCCCGGATAAACTGAAGGTTTTGTGGGCCATGGGCGCGGGGAACGATTCCACGTGTGTGTTGCAGTGCGCCTCTGACCACTGCGTCACACGTGTCCTTATCGAGTAAATAAAGATGAATATTGCCTCAGCTCGCTACGTGCTTTCAAAACATCAATACATTTCTTAGAAACCCCTATAGATATATGTAAACTAATCGAAGAGATTTGTTGCCTACTTGTAAAGTAAAATACGATCCAATTATTTATCGATAGTAACAATTTCGTTGTTTTTGTCAGTTTGACTGAAGCAGTTCTGGGTTTTTGTCAGAGAGGAGCGATTCACTCGTGGATGTATTCTCGACGGCACACGACGCTTCCGGATTCGAGCGTGGTCATCAGACGGTCGTTCTCGATCCAGCGGGTGATCAGCGACGGCTTGTCGTCCGGCTGAAACACACAGAATCAGATGAGCTCATTCCAGACTGGTAAGTATAATGGCAAACATTGCAGCAGACAAGAATTTGCAAGGAAGGGCTTTTTCGAAATCATACTCGGACGAAAGAAAGGAGGATATTCGCCATCAAACCATGGTGCTGTCGGCATTTGGTATCGGTTTTACAGCATATGTCAAGTGGTTGGCAATGCTTTTGAGTATTTTTCATATCCACTAATTACAAGTTGGGATTACGATTTATCACGGCAACTGAAAAGGAGCTGTTAAAGAAACGAATTGATGTGGGCAAGATAACGACCAGAGGAACGAGGTCAGAACTGCTGACAACATGAAAAGCTTATCGTTTTCGGCTTTTTGAACCATTATTGCTGTGGTTTGTGCTAGCTGATAATGATATCGACTTCTGTAGGATGAATTGTCCAGGAAAACAAGTTGTTATCACCGGACAGTCACCTTTGTTAACAGCCAGCATCCTCTATATAAGAGTATCGTCGGATGAGATTGCTTCATTCGAGCAATGCTCTACTGAAGAAGATCCAACTCGATACGAAGGCGAAGACGCCACATCGAGAAGACGAACGGCTGTGGACCATCGCCTCGAACCATCGGCTCTGATGAAGACGAAGACGTCGAAATTTTAGACGAATAAAGTTGTTCATCAACCTCGTGCAAACTCAGCAATTTGAACACATCAGTTTCACTCCTCAGGTGGAAAGTGTTATGCTGCCATGACAGACAAATTACTTCTCCCCGGCTTTTGAGAAGAATTCAAAATAGCTAAATTCCATGTCAACACACTCGCGACCGTACGCATTTATATAAATGCATACATGTGAAGTAGATCTCACTGTATGCATCGGTTTCGAAGTATTTTCCAGCCGTAAATTCCGTGACAAAGTTTTTCGTGGTGTAGTTTTTGTATTTAATCGATAGCTTATCGAACAGGTGTTATTCCACGTATGGTCTGTGATAGGCTACTTTCTACAGTTAACGACTGACAAAGTTAGTTTTTCTCACAAGTTTGTTCGCCAGTCGACGGGATCGTTGTTAACTAGAAAGGTACTGAGATACCATCTATCTCAAAGACAGTTGCTACTAAGGAGGCTACTATGGTATTCCGACGGAGACAGACAGAGTGCGCGTTCATCTGCGTGATTTCACATAGTGTATCCTTCGGAAAACTCAACTTCATTTTCATAAAACGTGAGTTAGAATTGAAATTTACAAGAACGCTGAAGGTCTGAACTCAATAAATGATGTAAAACGAGCAACGAAAAGGTGATGGAGTCGTGGTTGGACGGTGGACCAGACTTTTTTCATTCACAGAGAAGTTAGCAACGATGTAAAAAACCTGGAAACACACATAGAAGAAAGGAAAGCATGCAAATTAGTAACACAATCTGTAAGCGAACAGCATAGCAGGGCGAAACGAAACAGGGAATGTGTTCAGCTTTGAATAGTACAACGAAACCTGCGCATTGAGTCCAACGCTCAACATGTGCCGTGGTCACAAACTTGCTAAAGGTCGCTAAACGTACAGAATAACGGAGCATTTCCTTAGGGAATGATGATGAACTGGATTTACAGATAATGATGGATCCATGAAAGATTAGTTGGTTAAGGGAAGACATCAACCCACAGATAATTTGTACACCAGTACCTCATAGAGTAAGAGTTGACGTTATAGGAATCCCTATTTGAACAAGCGTGAGCAGAAAGAGTAAGAAAACTATTTTAACAGGTCAACTAATAGAAGCTAAAAAGAGAGCAATGGAAAACTCAACGGAGTCGGAATGACACAATTGCGCTCAAATTCATACCCATATTTTAGGTGTGGCGCGTGTGGCGCAGTGGTTGGAGGGGTCCTGCAACACACACACATAGGATGGATCCCCGCGCCCGTGGCTCACCAAACCTTCCATCCATCCGGGGTCGAGTTGATACTAGACTTGTCTGGGAGGATAGCAGCTTTGGCTCGATACATCGGTAGGCCACGGCGAGTCATTGTAAAGGTCAGATATGCATTCACTCACCACCAATGATGCTTATGAAGTCGAATTCATGACTCATCCCTCAGAAATTGATCAACGCCGAGAGCTTTATCCTTTTTAGAACTTTTATTTATATTCTAGGTATACACATTTTGCACTCGATCGTCCTGATGTTTGGTGGACGCGTTGAGTATCCACAATGAGAACCTATAGAAAGTTGCGACGAGTGACTCCAGGATCCAGGTGTATTTGAGCGTTCCCTAAGTTCATAGTCTTTCTATTTCGTCAACAATGCATTTCCTATAAGTGACAGATGGCTTGCCAAAACCGCAAAGCGTTGAGTTGGTTGTTATGAGGAATATATCAAATATCATGATGATTCCAAATAAGTTAAAAAATCTACTAAGCAAGTTGAAACTGTAGCTTGTACATAAAATGGTCCAAATTGTAAAGGCTATGAGTTCCATGTAAGGCATGGGTATTTTATATAGCCTAATGTTTCCAAAGACTACAAAACACATCGGTGAAGCACATTCTGTTAGCCGTGGTCGAAATTCTTGTCCTCACTAGCTACAGTCTTTGTGGTACTCTTTCTTTACAGCAGGCAAGCAACTAGCTGCGGGACCCACGGAACGAGTAAACTCGCTCAAGAACCGCTTTTAAAGCGCGATGGGCAAAAACAGCTCTTCATGGATACCCTGTACCACATTTCTGATGACAGGATATTGATGTAACATGAAACGGAAAGAAAAGAAACGCATTTAAGACAATTCGCTTTGTCGCGAATGTTTACGTCTATGTTGTGTGTCTTATTTACAAGCTGCGATCCACGATTTGTACGTATTCCGCAAATGTATACGATAAGTTGCCAGCTTATCCCAAGATTCCAAAATCTTTTCTAATCGCGCTTCATTTTCCACTAAACGACGAGCTGCAACTTCAAAACAACAAAAAAAGAACAGAGCTTAAAATACGTTAGTACCTTAAAAACTACAAAAAAGGGAATCAGAATAGTGGCAGAATCCAGAAAACTAAGGAATCTTCTAATAACTAATGACTGTTAGAAAGTTACGGTTCAGAATAATGTGCTAACACAACGTAAACGTAACGCAATAATGTATTAATGTAACGTCCGTCGGTTACCTACGCTGCAAGATACCAAAGGTTTTTTTTCCTGGATGCTATGCAAAAAAGGAGCGAGAACAACTCCGTCTTTTGCTCACTGATATTTCTACCTGCCTACTTTGCTGATTTCGAACTTTCTGATAAAGTGAACCCATCACTGAGAAAAAAAAAGTAGTCTACGCCATCCAGTTTCATTCAGAATCATTGCTCTCAGTTTTAAGCGAATCACCTACAAGGCCAGAAAGAGCAAGCTGGAGTGGAATTCGCCCGAGCATACATTTGTATAACAGTAGTACTTCTACGGATATCAATACCATTGTTAGCTAGCAAAATTTCTTGCACATCTTAAACGAAACGTTCAAAACGCAGCTCACTTTGATAGGCGTCTGTGTGTGGATGAGTTTTCCGTCGACGAATTTGATCAGCGACTTTACCGTTCGGCCATCTGGTGTGTTCTCCTCGAATTCCTATGAAAAGAACTCATTTGAGAAACTAAAGATCATTATTCGTCCAATTCAGACCCACCTCGTCGAGCTTGAATTCGAGCGTGGAATTTTTGAAAGTGGACGTTTGTTGACAAATCCATTTGTCACCCTGATAAGGGTAGAATGAGAATGAATCGTAGCACCCTTATCCGCACTTAATACTTAATGAATGACGGAATCACATTTCAGTGATGCGTAACAGTATTTCTTTGGCGTCAGAAAATCCCACTCTCGATTTTTCAAAAACTCTGAGAAGCATTAGAGTTCGTAACAAAATTGGACGAGCAAAAAAGATTCACTTGGTGAACGAGGCGGCCTCTCTACGGGAACAAAACAGTAGCCGTTGCCAGCAGCTTAGCAAACTCAAGGGATTCTTTCAAACCGTACAAGCACTAGTGGAGGCCACTATTGGTCTAAGATCTATAAATTCTCAGTTTTTCTCTTAGTATTGCTCTATTTAAGCGTGTTGTATTTTGAAGTCTCAGACCGCTCAACGCAGATCCAACTCAATCCTTCATAGTTCATAGTTGTTTACCTGTTAATGAAATGCTTACTATTGGGTCTGCAAAGCTGGGTACTCAGGTGGTCGTGCAAATACAAGATGTTACCCGTGCCACTTCATCCTAACCATCGATCACTTCGAAGTCAACGACGAACTGTGCTAGGACAGTTCTTTACAACAGTTATTCAGCCTATGTGGATCCTAGAAGGGTTAAGCTATCTTACGATTTTCATACTTTCATAACGGCGGCAACCGCAAGTGCTCGACAAAGCGATCAAGAGCGATGGAACAAGCTGCACCCCATATGTTTCGGCTGCAATTTAATAGGTTTATATTCTTCATGAATGCTGATGATTTTTAGTTGAGTTGGTCTTTTTGGAATTATAAAATAGATCTCGTAGAGCGCTCCTAACTTTTCACCACAAGTCGCCATCGACTTTTCTGGATCGGAGGGAGCCGCTCCTAGAAAAGTCTGCTAACAGTTCATGAACCCCGGAGAGATGGGGATGGTAGGGTTGGGACGAATTCGTGCTGGTAGTTAGAGTGCGTTTATGGCACGGAGTCCCTGACCATTGTGCTTCTGGCGTCCTTGTCCTATATTTTGTATTCGACTTTATTAACGTGCGTTTTAGAGAACAATTGTAGTCTTCTATAAAATAGAAGTTCCCAAAATGTTTAAAGAAAAACGTTCCCTATCCACTTACCTCCTTCTTAATTTCCAGATGTACTTTTAAATGAGCGGCTGCTTTACGAACGAGAAGACCGACGCCAACCTCCTGAGAACCGCAAGCTTACTTCCTTGCCATAATATGGTTTTTGAACTGCTAAAAAAGAACGAACCTTCATGTACTCGTCAAAGTTATCGCTTTTATCCAAAATCCACTTTCCTTCGAAGCTCATGATTCTTAAATGGCAATGCCGTTGAAAAAAAAAGACGACGTAGAGAAATAAAAGACATTTCAATATCCATGAAAAGAGTGCATAAAGTGATAAGCAGAATGAAAGTGGCATCGTTGTGCAACAGCAAAAGACCATAACAGACGTTGACTCTTTTTTCTGTTCTTCATCACTACCAATTTTAATTTCCACAGACAATAATGGGGAAAAGCTAAAGGAGCTTTCATTTAGCACAGTGAGAAATCATACTGCCACTCATAAAGCCGTAGTACATTCGACTCTCAGTGGAGACCACCTAAAGAGTTCCACTCCTTCATGGTCAAGAAGTCGGACAGGAGACTCCTTTGTTGTACTATACGATTGTGAGATGGCATGGCAGTAGAAGTGAGCTTCGCCGATACCTCTACTCTTCATTTTGAAACCATCCTCAACTCTTTTCTTTGTAACTCCCACGTCCGACTTTCTATTAACCTCGGCATTGATTGAACAAATCTTTCCACTTCTGTTCAGCAAACACGAGGTGCTACTCCACTTCCCCACTTACGTAAAAGCTGACTTTTCGGCGGATTTCGCCTTCCTCAGAGCCTGGAAAGGTCAAGTTGACAGCAACCTAATCGGCCAAACACCTTCATAACCAAACAGAGAAAACGCGAAACCAAGATTTCGATCACATTGAACACAGCTCTGCACACTCACCGCTTTCTATGAATCTTCCACTGAGTATGTCGTGTGAAGACCAACTGCACAGAATTCATATGGAAGCGTAATGTGCCCCTCCCATCAGAATAACAGGTTTATATACTGCCCTATATCACGCGTGGTAATGGGGCATTCTTCCCGGCGGTTCATTTTCGGATTTCTGGGATTTATCCAGAACGCCTCGAGAGTTTTGCGCGCGTGTGTTCTTGAGTCCTGCGCGAGGATCGTGACACGTACTTCAAAGTCTTCCCCGTTATGTCTCTGGGTCCTATGCGTGCCTAGCGGGGTATTTGGTCTATTTTTGCCGGCTAGGTGTTCTTTCATGCGGACACAGAGGGGTCTACCCGTTTCGCCAATGTATTCGTCACCACACGTCTTACAGGAAATCAGATAAAGTATACCCGAGCTCATGCAATCACCGTCTCTACCACTTGGGCAAATTATGCAATTTTGAGTTGCACATAGACGGTCATATAGGCGGTTACGAACTAGCTGGCGCCTAAGATTACTCGGTGGCATTTCAACTACGTTTACCGAATTCTCTAGACCCGCCCTTCTTAAGCAGCGTTTTATAACTGCACTTACATCATTTGAGATGAAGGGTAGGATAAACGGGACGTTTTATCGCTAGAGTTATCGTTTGGGGGCCTCCGATTTCCCCTACACCTATCCCGAGCTACAGTTTCGTAGCCATTGGAAATGGCTATTTGCCGCTTTTCTTTGTGTTAACACTTTATTTCTGCATACTACAATTTTTTACGGCACGGTACCATGCGAAATACAACTACAGTGATATCGAGATATTTGTAAAACTTGAATCCTGGGCTAAATCGAACCACGATTACCCTTTCCAGAAGCTAACGTACTACATACTGAACCATAGAGGCTCTTTCTTTGTCTTTACAGAATTCAGCAGCTCAGTCATTGAACAAAAGTTCCTCAGCAATAACAGAGAAGCAGACATTTCAATTCATCCGATTCATAAGAAACTCCGTAACGAAGAGATCGCTGATGTTCACCGAATTAAAAGTGCCAGTAGTTTGATGGTTGCTTCAGCTTGGGGTCAGCCGGGAAATATTGTAGTTGATGGTCGGCATTACACTACAAGGTGTACAAAAACAACGCAGTTGTTATCAAACCGTTATGTTCTGTCAAGTCTTTTATGCAGTTTCGAGAAATCTATGTCAGCAAGACGTTATCAGTACCACAGTGCTGATTGATTGCTCTCTCGTGGATGGATTTGCCTGTCATAAATGCACGGACGAAGTACAACGCCGAATGACATCATCACGACTAACTCCTTGGACAATGAAAAGACAAAATGGGCACAGCCACCGTCAGAATAAGACGATTTTCTTAGGGGAAATGAGTTTGGCGGTCAAGGTCAATGACCTCATTACGTCAAGTGAAAAAAGCTGAAAAGTGCTCACTGGATTACGAAGATCATGTGAGGAAGTTTTAGTTGTAGTGATCGAAAACGACTTTAAACATTGGTTAACAGCGATGAAGCTGGTTTTTCGACAACCAACGATAGCTTCTTGATCACTAAGAAGTCGAAAACCTCATGCCCACCTGTGGAATAAATTTTACTTTATGGCCTTAAGAGCTTATTTAGGATAGTCTTTCAGTTTTAAAACTACTTCTGAAGGAAATTTTCGGAAAATTGGAACGGAAATTTAAGTTGGTTTCCAAAATTTAGATTTTTCAAACCTATTTTTGTTTTAATTTTAAATCTTTAATTTTTTTTTATTTAAGATTTTCAAATCCTCCAAGCAACAGTGGTGGCAGCGGAAACCGGCAAATGTGCCAGCGCAGGAACGATATCGTGTCTTGTTTGAACCAGGAAGTTATTGCAGAATAAATTGACATGTACTCTCTTGCCAAAGATTTGCTGCAGATTTTGATGGTTTTTACAACAACTACTGAAGTTCACAGTGAGCTGAGATATTTGAGTCCAAACTTGGAAGTAGCCACCAATTTCGCACCACGTGCATTGAAGTTAATGCATGTAATGACGGATGTGACGAAATAGAGAGCAACAAATGGGGAGAAAAAGAGCGGAAGAAACCCGCGGAAGAAACTCAAAGAACCTTGCTTTTTGCAAAAAAAATCATTCCTATCCATTGGAAGCTGAATGCTGACAAATGAATATTTGGCTTTTGCAGGGGCAAAAAAAATAAATTTTGTAAAATCCATCAAAACCATGCCACTAAACCCTCTTCAGTTTCAATTTCCACAAAGCTTCGTTTGTCGAGATGTGCAGGTGTTTTCCCAGCCACTCAAGTAGATATTTAAGTAACTCCAATAAGTTAATGAGACATCACGAACTAGTAATAAAACAATAAAAGATGCTAGCCAAAAAAAAAGTAGAATAACTTTCTAGGAAAAAGTTTGTCACACGACCACAATAGTGGTGACTTTTTTGCAAAACACCGGGCCGCAGGTCTCTGCGGTGGGGAGCAAACGCGCTATTACTCTTTCCAGGGCTAATGCGTTCATCCCCACACCATGGTGGTCCTTCGTTTCACCTGTCTTTAAACTAGTTTTTCTTTCGATCAGCGCCATGAGAAAATACCCGTCGGCGGGATTGATCTGAGGTCCCAAAATAGGCAATGAACTCAGTCTGTTAGTACCGACAGTCAGAGTGTATAAAATTTACACGAGAAAAACCTACCGAGAACTGGCTTCCATTCTTAAACATCCAAATAAAGCTATCAGTAAGTGGCTATGTAACAAAATGGTATCGCAGGCCAAGTAGTAAAAACATTCTAGTTCACTGCCTCTCCTCTCACTCCTCTTCACACATGAAAAAAGCACTTATCAAAAATAAGTAGAAGCCACTCGGGTTAAAGGAAAGCATTGCGTAGTTTCCCAAAATAATATTTCAGACGAAAGTAGGATCCCCTTTAAGCTTCCCTTCATATCAAATGAAGTAAGTCACGCTATTAAAAAGTGCTGAAGAAAAAATGGTCTTGAAAATTATGTAACGATTGTTGACATCCCACCCAATACCCTACGCCGCCAGTTAGTTCGAAACCGTCTCTATGATCGTTTGTGCAGCTCAGAAAACTGTATGATCTGACCTAACGGGAGAGACGGGGATTGCATGAGTTTAGGTATAATATACTTGATCTCATGTAATGCATGCGGCGAGGAATATATCGCAACGGGAGAGACGGGGATTGCATGAGTTTAGGTATAATATACTTGATCTCATGTAATGCATGCGGCGAGGGATATATCGGAGAAAACGGGTACACCACTTTGTGTCCGCACAAAAGAACATCTAGATGGAAAAGCTAAAACCCGTTTAAACACCCCTCTGGGTACACATAGGGCACAAAAGCACAACGGCGATGATTTTGAAGTGAATGTGCGGATCCTAGCGCAGGAATCAAAAACATCAACGCGCAAAACTCTTGAGGCGTTTTGGATAGATTTCAAAAACCCAAAGATGAACCGGAAGGACGAATGCCTCACTATCACACGTGACCTGGCGCCCTATTTCAAAATGATATTTTGACCCCGGGGCGTGTCTTGCTCGCGACTCCACGTGAANCCACGTGAACTACGTGTGGGCCAGTCCCGCACGTAACATCACGGTGAGTGGCCTTTCTGTTCAATATGGCGTCTATTTGAAAGTTTGATCTTCATTAATACTTTAACCTTCTTTTCCACCGAATAATAAAAAGTATTTTAACATAAAGTACGTCCAGGATCTGAGGAAGGCAAAGTCAGCCATCGATCAATAACATCAAAAACAACGACAACGACAACGAAGATCTGTACCAACCTCGCGTCAGCTTAAGAAGATCAGTTTNGTATAATATACTTGATCTCATGTAATGCATGCGGCGAGGAATATATCGGGGAAACGGGTAGACCACTTTGTGTCCGCATAAAAGAACATCTAGATGGGAAAGCTAAAATCCGTTTAAACACCCCTCTAGGTGCGCATAGGGCACAAAAGCACAACGGCGATGATTTTGAAGTGAATGTGCGGATCCTAGCGCAGGAATCAAAAACATCAACGCGCAAAACTCTTGAGGCGTTTTGGATAGATTTCAAAAACCCAAAGATGAACCGGAAGGACGAATGCCTCACCATCACGCGTGACCTGGCGCCCTATTTCAAAATGATATTTTGAGCCCGGGGCGTGTCTTGCTCGCGTTAGCTACGTGTGGGCCAGTCCCGCACGTAACATCACGGTGAGTGGCCTTTCTGTTCAATATGGCGTCTATTTGAAAGTTTGATCTTCATTAATACTTTAACCTTCTTTTCCACCGAATAATAAAAAGTATTTT